AATATGTCTACCTTTTAAGGGTGACAACGTCTCAAACACAGTCAAGCGACGCTTGCGTTGTACTATAGAAAGAACATACAACGCAGCAGAGCCTATCTTCATCAGTTCCACAAAAAGCCTTCCAATTAACCGGGCAAAGGATGCGTTGCCAATGCACGCCACCCCAAATTGTGTGTATGAATTCACATGCACTTGCGGCTGCAAGTACATTGGGCAAACGCAAAGGCAAATGGCAACCAGGGCCGCTGAGCATTTGCCTAATTGGCTTTTCCAACAGGAAAACAAAACCCTCCGTTCGTCTATAACGAAACACCTGTTAGATAGTGGTCATGTTTTCAACCCTAAAGCATCTTTTCGAGTACTTGTCCGAGCTCATACAACTCGAACCTTGCGTTATTTGAAAGCAGCTTACAAACGGAGGGAGAAACCAGACTCGTGCAAGCAGTTAGATCATGTGATCAATCTGCAATTGTCCTGGTAATCTCACGCCTCAAGTTACTCCTGACTGTGATTTGTTGTTAACATTTCGTCTCCCTTTTTCCTATATGATGCTTATGTGGACGTCTTAAATGATTATTCACTGCCTTGAACATTGACCTTGCTCTTATGCACTGCAATTCTGTACGAATTCATACTGCTGTGCGCTTTCATTCGTTACCTATGCTATGCAGAGACGGGCTGCAGTTGAAAAGCCGTCGCGAAATTTATTGAACCCAATAAATTCTGCTGTGCATGCTTGTTTTCAATTCATACTCGGGAAAAAAATGCTTCAAGGTTCTTGTTCTTGTCTCCTTCTTCGCGATATTTCCCGTGCTGGATTACGGGGCTTACTCGTCCCGCTGTGCCTTGGGACTCCATGCGGAGCTCTTGCGGGCAGTCTTCCTGCAACTAGTAAGGAAAGTGCCGACAAGGACAAGGGGTGGGTCGTTCCTGGCCTATTGGTCATTCATAGATGTTTTGGCAGATTTTGAATAATTCATATTGACACAACTGTGAAAAACTCGGGGCCTTGGTGGGATTCGAACCCACGACAATAAAGGGAAGCCTTTAGTACAGCCAAAGCTCTAACCATATGAGCTATGAGGCCCCGCCAGACGACGCTAGCTTAATCACATTTGGGTCAATTTACCCACTCAACCTACTCCAACATCTGGAATCCACCAAATCTGATACAGTAAACTGACTGCCAAGCAGGATTTCCTAAGTAATTCACCTACGATCCACCAGACGTGAGTAAACTCGCATAGTCTGGCGGGACCTCGTAGCTCAGGTGGTTAGTGCGTTGGCTGTACTAAAGTCTTCCCCTTACCGTTGTGGTTTCGAATGCCACAGAGGCGACGAGTTTTTCACAGATGGGTTAGTGTGAAATATTGGTCATCGTCAGTCTGAAGTGTTAGTCACCTTGCAGCAAAAAGTTAAACGTAAAACCCCCGTGATGACTATTTGAACTGGATTTTGCCCAAAATTGTAAATATAAATAAAAGCAGGAAAGCTTTTTTCAACTTGAGCGGAAAAAAGAGCGAAAGAGATGGCGGAGTTTGCATATTTATCACGGCAACAGTAATTACTGCGGACTGTAGATGGAATGCCAGTTTTTTAAATTCACAGCTTATAGCGTGTTGCTAAAATGCCCTGTCAACAATGAAGTGAATGCAAATATGCCTGGTATGGCCGATGATGGTATGATAAACCTGGTCAGGTTGTGCGAGATTCATTTTTATCCCAATCAGGTTCCCCTACATGATCAGGATGGATAGTTGACCGCAGGAGTAATAATTTTATTTGTCTGTCATTTCGGACGCACCTCACCGTCTTCATGAAACCGGCGCAACATTGACCACAACCCGGGGACGAGAACCAGAGGTATAAGCATATACACGCCAGATATTACGATGGATTTTATGAGGGTAAAGTAAGCTTAATGCAATGCTCAACCCCCTTGTCGAATGGACGTTGAGCACATAATGTGCACACGAGGGGTATTGACTAGATACCAAGCAAAGATTCCCGCCAGCTGCCGTCGTTTTAGTCAATTCTTCTCTACCGCCATCCCTTTAGTTCTCCTGATGTAGAACTGTTGAACTGCAAAGCATCAAGACAGAGACTCGACTTCAAGAACAATACATTTGTTCACCTGTCCTTTCGGACGCACAATAAGATAGCGTCAGAGCCAACAACAAATAAGGGCAGTGGATGCAGAACCCACAAGGTACAGTGTCAATGCAACCGCATACCTATCGAAATTAACAACCCCTACGTTCATCACAGGTGGGTGCATTTGGTGCGATCACCCGCATCCGAATCGTTAATTGCCCCTAATTACACCACTAGTGTTAGTTACTGGCGTTATAATTACCCGGCCATTTGTCCCACACATAGTGCCAAGGGAAGCAGAGTTCACCGCGCACTCCCTGCATGACTCATTGCCCTACGCAGGCGACATGGCAGCCCGGAGCGTGGAGGGGCGGGGGGGGGCATTGTGTCCATTGATGAACTGGAGATCAGAGATTGATGAATCGTGCAGCTCGCGAGTCAAGCAGTTGTCACCACCCTGTAGAAATTTCTACGTTCAACGTCAAGTTTGACAGGGTCCTGTCTAACGTGCGGCGACTTGAACATAGGTCCCAGTCTCTATCACTGCTGCTGCTGCTAGCTTGGCTATCCTACTTCAGATTAACTGCCATTTTCTCCAACGTAACTGCGTTGCCAAAAAATGCGCCCCATCCGGTTAATAACTGCAGAACTTTCCTGACGAGGCGGTGGTCTTTCAAATTATTTATTTAACGCTAAATTCTTGCCTCTGGCGTGCGTGCAAGGCACGATCTCAGCGGCGTGATAGGGTGGCTGACGGCTACCGAGAAGTCGTTGACCTACGTGATCGCTCGCCAAAATGCAAAAATTTTTGCTACGGTGTTTGCAATTACCATAGGTATGTTTTCGAAAGGAAGACTTCGTCCTGTGGATTCAAAGACGAAAGCGGTACGAAGCTGCTTCCGCTGTGGATGACCGTACAAGTTCTTGAGTTGCGAGTAATAGGCGGCTGAGCGCTGGAGAACACGTTCCTCAAACTGCCTCGTTCGTCGCCATCCGTAACCGACAGCTGTTGAAGAATCCTTCGTCAAGGGAGGTTAAGTAGGAGACGCGAAAGGCTCTATCAGTGACTCCTGACTACTGATCATCCAGTGCACGTGCGGTGCGGATGGAATTCCCTCAGAGTTCGCCCTTCATCAAAACAAACGGCGCAGTTAAAGAAAAGTGACCTGGTAGTTGAAGGCAAGTTAGTCTGGCACCTGAGCATCCCTAGTAATAAATTCAGGTGCTACGGCGTAGGGGTCCATTTAACACACGTGATGTGCAATCTACCAATAGGATCACAGTAGTGGAGTTAGTGGGAGGTGATGGACTCGAAAAAGAATTTTATCCGATATCTATCGCAGTCAAATTGTACAGATCGTGCGAATTTCTCCGCAGTGTACTAATCGAACTCGAGAACCGTCTCATTTCTGAAAGATATATCTAATTACGGACTATAAGGTCACTGTTTCAGAGTCTTAAATTCACGACAGCGAACTCAGTTCGTAGTGAAGAAACTAAAAGCGGTCAATTTTCTTCCATAAGAAGTCCTAATGTTTTGAGACTGCAGGTCCCCCTCTGCTTCTAGTTTCCATGATATGGCGGCCGAGATCATCAATGAAAGAAACAACCACCTTGAACGCGCCCATATGCTCACATACTGAAGTTTCGTCTCGGAGGGCATTTCGAGTTCGACGACATTGCCCGTGAAAAGATTAAAAACAAACCACCTGATTCACCGATTTATTGGCTTGTGATCGAGGCGGCACCGCAAAGGTTGCAGTCGCTGAACCAAAAAATGGAATGCTGTGCTCGGTATGTGGACGATAACTTCGTCCTCGGTGGACGGAATCAAGTGCTGATATTCAAAGAACACCTCAACACCGTGTGTCTGTACGAAGAAAACAACCAGCTGGTCGTACTTGGTGGCCTAAAAACCAAAATATTCAGAGAAGTGACATACACAGCGCAGGTACTGAGCTTCAACAGCATTCACTAGCACATTTGCCATGAGTTCTCTGACCGAATGGATACTCGCGCAACTTTGTAAACCGATGCTTGTGGAAATGAGAGGGAAGACCAAGTCGCACCAGCACCAAATTTTGGCGGGCGTCCGCGTACGTCAACGACTTCTCAGGAGCTGACAGCCACCTTATCAGGCCAGAGACAAGAATTTAGCGCCAAAAAATTAATGTGAAAGACCACCGCCATGGCAGGAAAAGCCTGCAGTTATTTATCGGATGGGGCGCATTTTTTGGCAAAGCAGTTACGTTGGAGAAATTGGCAGTTAATCTGAACTCGGATAGCCAAGCACGCAGCGGCAGCATCCGCAGCAGTGATAGTGACAGGGACCTATATTCAAGTCGCCGCACGCTCGACAGGACTCTGTCAAACTTGACGTTTAACGTCGAAATCTCTACGGGGTGGTGCCAATCGCTCGACTCGCGAGCCGCACGATTAATCAATCTCTGAACCTCAGTTCATCAATGGACACAATGGCCCCCTCCCCCGCCCCTCCAGGCTCAGTGCTGCTACCATGCCTGCGTAGGGCAATGAGTCATGCAGGGAGTGCGCGGTGAACTCTGCTTCCCTTGTCACTATGTCTGGGACGAATGGCCGGGTAATTATAACGCCAGCAACTAAAACTGGTGTTGTAATTAGGGGCAATTAACGATTTGGGTGCGGGTAATCGCACCAAATGCATCTGCCTATGATGAATGTAGGGGTTGTTAATTTCGATGGGTATGTGGTGGCATAGACACTGTACCTTGTGTGTTCTGCATCCACTGCCCTTAACTGTTGTTGGCTCTGACGCCATGTTAGTGTGTAAACAAAATGACAGGTGAATAAAGTGATTGCTCCCGCAGTCAAGTATCCGTCCTGGGCATGTAGGCGAACCTGATTGGCATGAATATGAATCATCAGAGATGATGATCGATTCAAGTGAGAATCTGAAACGTCAGGCGAAGAAAGACCTTTTTCCAGCGATCGCTTCTTCTTCTGATCAACTAGTTCCTGGAACTCGCATCTTCGCTTATATCGCGAAGTAAGTGTTGGGTATCCGTGCGTGCACCTGCACGCGCGGTAATGCGGTCTGCACTGGCCGGGTGGATCTTCGCGTCGAAATCGTCAAGACGAGGCTCTGCCTAAACCATCGCAGGAGGCCACCAGGTAAGTTCTTCTACAGGTAAGTGCATTTGCTCTGTTTCTTCCTTTTGTTTGTTGAAGTTCCGTGTCGTATACTGCTCTTGCTGCCTGCCCTCCATATGTTAGTCTGTCTGTTAATAGTTAAATGTACTTCTCGATGCCTGCTGCGACTGCCTGTCTGTCAGTCTATGCCTCTGCCTGATAATAGCTAGGTGTTACGGTGCTTGACTTTGAGTGGTGCCCTCACTTTTGTCTCTGACTGATGACTGTGTCCGCTTGTCCACTCTAGTTCTAAGTCCCATAGCGTTAGGTTGTGTATGCTCTCTCCTACTTCACTCCATCACATCACCATCACCACCAGGGTCCCAGGCTAATTCGGGTCGTTCTCTCACTAACAAAAAGTCTTGGCCCATAGTGGAGTCCGGCAGCCGTCTGGGATAACCGGGCAGCCCTGTTCAGGGATGCGTTGCCTGCCCTCGCGAGGGGGAGGGGGCTAGAAAAGATGCCCTAAAGATCGCTGGGAACCACGCTGTCTGTAGGCTGGCCGTGGCCGCAGACAAAAAAACACACGGTCGAAACAGCAAAAACCGAAACAACAACAATCACTCTCTTCCTCTTCCAGCCTATTCTTCTTCTTCTCCTCCTCCTCCTACATTTCGCCGCCGCAGTCGCCAGATTGGCAGGGTGAGCCCGCTCACTCTGGCAGCCTGGAATGTTCGTTCCCTTTTAGACAATCCGAGGAGCAACCGACCGGAACGGAGGACGGCGCTAGTGGCACGAGAACTGGCGCGCTACAAGGTGGACATCGCCGCACTCAGCGAGACCCGTTTCTCCGAACAAGGCCAGCTGGAGGAGGTGGGTGCCGTCTACACCTTCTTCTGGAGCGGTCGACCCAGGGCAGAGCGATGTGACGCGGGTGTCGCCTTTGCCATCCGAACCGACATCGTGGGACGACTGCCCTGTCTGCCGCAGAGCATCAACGATCGCCTGATGAGCCTCCGTCTGCCTCTCCGGGGTGGGGGCAAATTCGCCACCATCATCAGCGCCTACGCTCCGCCCATGACCAGCACCGACGCCGCCGCAAGAGAAAAATTCTACGAGGACCTGCACGCCCTCTTGGCGACTGTGTCGAAGGCGGACAAGTTGACTGTCCTTGGCGACTTCAACGCCCGCGTCGGCACAGACGATACTGCCTGGAGGGGAGTGCTGGGTCCCCACGGTCTCCGCGGCTCAGACGACAACCGACTGCTGCTTCTCCGCACCTGCGCAGAACACCGCCTCATCTTGACGAACACCTTCTTCAGTCTGCCGGAGCGAGAGAAGGCCACCTGGAGGTATCCTCGGTCGCGTCAGTTGCACCTGCTGGACTACGTCCTCGTCCGGAGGCGAGATCAGCGGGACGTGCTGGTGACGAAGGCGATCGCGGGTGCTGACGGGTGGACCGACCATCGTCTCGTCATATCGAAGATGCGCATTCGCCTACAGCCTCGCAGGAGACCACAAGGTAAGCGACACCTAGGTAAGTTGAATGTTGCTTTGTTGTCTTTGCCCGCTCACCATCTTCATTTCAGCAATGAGCTAGCTCAACGGCTAGACAACCTCCCAATCGCTGCCGCCGCCGACGACGCCACGGCTGCCGAGAACGCCTTCGTGGAGAACCGCTGGTGTCAACTGCGAGACACGGTCCAGTCGACGACGCTCGCCGTCCTCGGTCGCGCTCCCCGTCAACACCAGGACTGGTTCGACGACAACGCGATCAAAGCTGTCTACGGTCCGCCGACGAAGGGCACCGCTCCTCTCCTCAGCGCCGACGGCAGCACTCTCCTGACTGAGAAGACGCAAATCCTACAGCGATGGGCCGAGCATTTCCGAGGCGTCCTCAGCCGCCCTTCCGTCATCTCCGACGCCGCCATCGAGCGTTTGCCGCAAGTGGAGACCAACGTGGACCTCAACCTCCAGGAGACCATCAGGGCCGTGCAGCAGCTCTCCAGCGGGAAAGCACCCGGATCGGACGCAATCCCTGCTGAGGTCTACAAGCATGGAGGTCCCCAACTCATAGATCACCTGACTGCGCTCTTCCAAGAGATGCGGCGTCAAGGGGAAGTCCCGCAAGATTTCAAAGACGCAACCATCGTGCATCTCTACAAGCGCAAGGGGAATCGCCAAGTCTGCGACAATCACCGTGACATCTCCTTGCTGAACATCGCCGAGAAGATCTTCGCTCGCATCCTTCTCAACCGCCTCAACAACCATCTGGAACAGGGCCTTCTACAGGAAAGCCAATGCGGCTTCCGTCGTCATCGTAGGACCACAGATATGATCTTCGCCGCCCGTCAACTTCAGGAGAAGTGTCAGGAGATGCGGATCCACCTTTACTCTACCTTCGTGGACCTGACGAAAGCCTTCGACACGGTGAATCGTGAAGAACTGTGGAAGATCATGCAGAAATTCGGCTGTCCGAAGCGATTCACTCAGATGGTGCGTCAGCTGCACGACGGTATGATGGCGCGAGTCACGGACAACGGAGCTGCCTCAGAGGCATTCGCAGTGACCAACGGAGTGAAGCAGGGCTGCGTGCTGGCGCCAACCCTCTTCAGTCATATGTTCTCTGCCATGCTGATGGACGCCTACCGCGACGAACGCCCGGGATCCGCATCGCCTACAGGATGGACGGTCACCTCCTGAATCAACGGCGGATGCACTTCCAATCGCGCGTATCCACAACCACCGTTCACGAACTTCTCTTCGCCGACGACTGCGCCCTGAACACCACCTCGGAAGAGGAGATGCAACGGAGCATGGACCTGTTCTCCGCCGCCTGCGAGAACTTCGGTCTGGTCATTAACACGCAGAAGACGGTGGTGATTCACCAACCGCCACCCCACTCAGTCACAGCCCCCAACGCGCCGCCGCAAATCAGCGTGAACGGAATCCAACTGCAAGTGGTTGAGAACTTCCCGTACCTGGGCAGTACTCTCTCCCGCAACACCAAGATCGACAACGAAGTCGCCAACAGGATCTCGAAAGCCAGTCAAGCCTTTGGTCGCCTCTAAAGCACAGTTTGGAATCGTCATGGTCTTCAACTGAGCACGAAGCTAAAGATGTACAAGGCCGTCATCCTGCCGACACTACTGTATGGAGCGGAGACTTGGACGGTGTACACAAAGCAGGCACGCCGACTGAACCACCTCCACCTCAGTTGTCTTCATCGCATCCTGAGGCTGAACTGGCAGGATCGAATCCCCGACACTGAAGTACTGGAACGAACGGGAATCCTCAGCATCTACGTCATACTGAGACAAATACAGCTGCGCTGGAGCGGCCACCTGGTGCGCATGGACGACGAGCGACTACCCAAACGACTCTTCTACGGAGACGTCGCGACGGGTTCTCGCCATCAAGGAGGCCAGATTCGCCGTTACAAGGATACGCTGAAGTCCTCCCTGAAACGCATGCAAATCAACCCCACCAACTGGAAGGAGCTCGCACTCGATCGGTCGACCTGGAGGAGGACAGTGAAGACAGGCGCTGCGATCTACGAAGCCAACCGCATCGCTGCCGCCAAAGCGAAACGCGAAGCCTGCAAATCCTAACTTCGCCCAGTACGCAACGCCGCCGCACAACCGCTTCCAACGTGTCCTCGATGTCAACGGACATTCCGGGCTCGAATCGGACTTGTTAAACATCTTCGGATCAACTGCGCTTCTCGAACTGCACCAACCATCGTCACCCCGCCCGCCTCTTCCTCCTCCTCCTCCT